TTCCGGGACTTTGCAGAGGAAAGGGGTGCAGGATGTGCTTTGGGGATAGAATTCCACCTTTGCACCCGGCTCAGCACCTGTCCTGTCCCCCGGAGATTCCTTGAGGCCACCTGGATCGGAGAGGAGATGCTGTTGATCATTTCCTGTCCCCTGAGGCTGTGATCCCGGGTCGACCGGACCGGTAGCCCGGCAGCGCCCCCTGGTGGCCGGCGACGCTCAGGCAGCGCCGGGAATCGCCGCCCAGGTCAAGGACCAGAACCAGGAGCAGGAGCAGGTGCAGGGCCAGGGCCAGGGCCAGGGCCAGGGCCAGGGCGGGAGGGAGATTTATCCCAGTGTACACCTCTAACTTATCCCTCCTACACAAGGCAGGACTCCGGCTTCTTTCCCTTTTCTGTGTATTTCAAAAGTAATGTACATTGAGCATAAAAAATACATGTAAACAAAAAGACGCCCCCAATCAAAGCTGTGATACTGTGTCCTGGCAGGACCAGCCAGGCCTGGGTCTCAATCCCAGACCTACCATCTACCAGCTGAGTGAATCTGAACAAGTCGCTTAACTCTCTGAGCCACAGTTTCTGCATCTGCAGTCTGGGAATGGTGTGCTCTCCATTGCTGGGTTGTGTAAAGATGACCTATGTACCCAGCACAGAGCTCTGACTGATGGGGACAATTCTTATTAGACACAAAGGAGAATGTGTTAAATGCCCTTCAGTTTCTGCCCAGGTGTTCCCAGGGGGTGAGAGATGTTCCCAAAGATGTAACTGCCTGCCTGATCGCCCAAGCAGAGACTTTCTGGCAGCCAGGGTTGGTCACAGGGCTAATTCTGGTCCACGGAATGTGACTGGAAATGATGTGTACAACTTCCGAGTCACGCCCTGCAAAGGAGGTTGTCTCTCCCTCCCTTCTGCTTTTCCATCCTCCTGCTGGCTGGGAAGTGGAAGATCGTGGATCAGCTGCCCTGGAGAAAGAAAAGGAAGCCACATGCTGAGGATGGCAGGGTCTCCCTGACACCCCAGAACCACCGACATCTGAAGAAATAAATATTCCTAAGCCAACGTATCTCTGGATCGCTTTGTTACATCAACTTAGATATAATCATGGCATTTCAAGTGTACACCCAGGAGTCTTGGTATTCATTCTGAACACCAGCTGACAGAGCTTCTGCCTTTAGTGCCACTTGTTACCTTTAGTGTGTCCCCCCACCCCACCCCACCATACACACAAAAAAAAGCCCCTACAAGGGCTGGACCCACGGAACCCTAGGGATGGCTTAACTCCAGCCTGATCATCCCCTCCCTGAGGTTGCACTGAGGCTGGTAGCCCCACCACCTGGATCATCCCTTCCCTGATGTCCCACTGAGACTTGTTGCCCCACCACCTCTCTCTGCTCCTCTCCCCGTTCTGTGGCTTCAGTGTGCCAGGGGCTGATTAAGGGTAGTCCAATGTGTTGGACAGTTAGTACAAGGGTTCTTCAGTGACTGAACAACTGCAGGTTGAACTGACAATGAACAAGATGCACACTGGGGCTCCTTTTCCCCAGTCAGGAGGGACAGAGTAGCTCAAATCTATGTCTTGGGAGTCTGGAACCTCTATTCCTTCCTGGTACTCCCCAGTTTAGGACATTTTGATAAAAGCTAGTTTATAGAAGGCAAAGAGCAAGCCCAGGTCCCAGGTAGGGCCTCCTACCTCCCCTAGTGTCAGGCCTCTGAGCCCAAGCCAAGTCATCATATCCCCTGTGGCCTGCACGTATACATCCAGATGCCCCCAAATAACTGAAGAATCACAAAAGAAGTGAACGTGGCCTGTTCCTGACTTAACTGATGACATTACCTTGTGAAATTCCTTTTCCTGGCTCATCCTGGCTCAAAAGCTCACCCACTGAGCACCTTGTGACCCCCACCCCTGTCAGCCAGAGAACAACCCCTTTGACTGTAATTTTCCACTACCTACCCAAATCTTATAAAACCGCCCCACCCCTATCTCCCTTGGCTGACTCTCCTTTCGGACTCAGCCCGCCTGCACCCAGGTGATTAAAATGCTTTATTGCTCACACAAAGCCTGTTTGGTGGTCTCTTCACACGGATGCAAGTGAAACCTAGTAATCTCAATCTTGAGACTCCCACACTAGGGTATACCTGTGGAAAGGTCAATTCCTGTATGGTGAAGTTGGCAGGTCTGATTTATCTTGAATGAGTCTAGTATCCATCTTTCTTTTTCTTTTCTTTCTTTTTTTTTTTTTTTAGACCAAGTCTGCCACAGCAGGCTGGAGTGGCAGGCATCTGTAGTCCCAGCTACTTGGGAGGCTGAGGCAGGAGGATCACTTGAACCTGGGAGGTGGAGCTCACAGTGCGCCAAGATCGTGCCACTGCACTCCAACAGATTTGTTTAGTTTTGTTTTGTTTTTGAGACAGAGTCTCACTCTGTCACCCAGGCTGTAGTGCAGTGGCTGTAATCTTGGCTCACTGCAACCTCTGTCTCCCCAGTTCAAGCAATTCTCCTGCCTCGGCCTC